TGCATATTGTTGTTTGCAGCTCAGTTAGATAAGGTGGCATCACCAATTTGAACTTTTGCAATAAAACACAATATATCGGTCATTACATGTTAAACTTTGGACTCCTTGTTACACAAATCGAATATTGTTAGCATCTATTATCTAAAACTTACATTTTGCATCATGTTTTCTCAATAACCATTTGTCAGATTGACTCCATTTTCCATGCTACAGAATTCTAGCTGTTATAACCAATGTTCATTTTTGTAAGATATGTGACTGTATTTAAGTAATATAGCCATACAACCTCACACCAACTCCCTTTGTTTCCACATTATCTTCCAATATGGTTTGGAAATGATAAGTGGGGGTGACATGATAAACTAATGTTGCAAGACATGGATCCACATGGTAAACGTTTTTATTATTGGAGATCACAAGTATTTTACTCTATTTTTGTGAAAAGGATGTTCCTTAATCCATACCTTCCTGCTGCTCTCTTTCTGGAGAAATTGATTGTATATTCTAAACCACAAACATTTTTTGAGCACTGAATATTTGTGCTAAAATTCCCCTTTATTGGCACAAATTATTTTTCCTTAAGGATGGTGCCTAATTATCAACAGTTGTAGAAAAACAAAGTTAATTGTGTTTTGGTTTGACCCCCTCATCTAAGAATAACTCTTTTCGTTAAAGAAATCATAATTTACTTCTCCCCACTGTCGAATCGGACACTATCTCCTTCCCAGTTAGTATATATCTTTCCCAATTCAAATTTACTTTAGCAAGTTTGACAGTAAGTCTTGACCTCATTAGATTAATAAGATTTAATTTATCGATTCCCAGTTGAGAAAATGTCAGTTAACATCCTTTACAGTTCCAAATTCAATTACCAAACATGTAACTCCAAAATAACATCATAACAGTGAAAAATGATACTCGCAAATGCTATTGAGATGATTACATCTCCAGTAATTAACAGTCGAGAAGTAGCAGATAAAATACTCCAACTATCATAGAAATCATTGCAAGAAAGTCGTCACAAGTTCACATTGAAGAAGAGTGGCATCCAAATTGGTAAATCAATATTGACTAAAGAAGTTTGAATTGTGTTACGATCAGTTGAATCCAGAGCTCATTCATGCTGTGCTTCTATTTTCTGGAATTCTATTTTTATGATTGGATCGCACGTCAGTATAGTTTTTCGCAGAATCTCATGCAGTTTCAGTTAAAAGAATTGTGTCATTTTTTGTAGAATCATGTGACATAAAAAGTAGTTGACATATAATTTACAAGGAAAATGCACATTTGAGCTGCATGTAATTCTATAACATGAAAGAATAGGTTTAGATCAATAGTAATTTGGCTTCATTCTGAAAGAGGATTTGTTAGAGTTAAGTATAGATGATTTATAAATTATAAGTTAATTTGATAGCTAATGAATTTGAGCTATTTATGATAAAAAAAGGCATGTAAAGGATGTAATTGTGTTGTATTTATAAGCAGTGCTTTAATAATCATAGTGTTCAATAAAAGATTCAGTTTGGCAATTATAGTTATTGGAGATGTATGTATAGGGAAGTTACGTAAACAGCTGATGAATTTGGTGCGGAAATGATAATATGACATAATAATACAGAGGAACTAATCTGAAATCAATCCTCTTGATTGACCCGTCACTTTTAACCAATAAGAATCTAAGAGTGTGCGGCAAATATTGGGGAAAAGCTGTGAATTTATGTTTGGGAGAAGTTGGAATTAGCTGAGGGTGCTATAACTTTACACGGAGGATTATATGGAGTTTATATAGGATTTGCTGGCAATACAGTGAGATTATGATATGCATAGATATAGTGTCTAAAAGGGATTTAAATGAGAAGACAGATTGATCTGACAATATGAGTCGCCAGAATCACATGCTTTACAGGTAAGTTTACCATCATCTTTATGAATAATTCAAGCACAAAGCTGAATATTGGAATTCACTCATGGTCAAGCTCATTTTATATTCTTGCATCAAACCCATGATTTGCCCTTATAATGTCACCACCAGAAGTGGTGACATTTTGTTATAGTCTCCAACCTTTTGTGGACAGTGTTTGGTGGGAGGGATATGTAACAAATGGCAGGTAGTGACAATTTGCATGTTAATGCCTTGTTCTCAATCTAAGATAAGGGAAAGGTTGGGAAAAAGAAGTCGAGGGGTTGAGAAGACTTTTTAAGGATGGAATCTTGTAGAATTGAAAATTATACCATGATACATAGAATAAATATGTATTTTATTGATGAATAAATCAGGGAAATTCAAACTTAGTTCATGCATGGGCTTTTAATATCTATTGAATGCCCATGGTTCATTGATGAAAATGAAACTTCTTCATGTCACCATCTAAAGTGATCACATATTGTTATAGTCTCCATTTTTGTGATGGTGGTCGGTGTCTCACATACAACCTCTGTAACAAATGGCCGGTGGTGACATTTTGCATCTAATGCCTTGTATTGTTTGAAAATGTAGCGATCCTGATATATATTGATATATATATATATAGATTCTTCTTACTGCACTTGTGTTGGAGAGATGGGCATAATTCAAAAGAAGACTTAGATATATCACATAAAAATTATGGTATAAAGTAACTCATATGTAAATGCCTTTCAATGTTACATTTGGGGGCTTCTAAATGAAAAAGCAATCTTAGATTACAAGCTTTCTATTAATTACCTCTGCCCTTTGTTGCAGACCTTGAAATTTAATTGAGGCAGAGAATAGATCATTAGATAGAATTGAAGACCTGACGTTCATGTTATAATGGGGACTTCAAATGAATTAACATGGTTCAGTGCACTTAACTAGGCCTAGGCTTTATAACACTTAGAGTGTTCTCCGCAGAATTTTTTCTAAAGTGGGTGCAAAATTCTCAATTACAAAATTCAGACCAAAATTGGTAAATGTGCCAATTTTTCATGATTTTTCTCATTTTCAAATGGATGCAAATAGATTTTCAGGTAGATGCAAACCTGTTTTTAAAATCTCGGGTGGGTGCTGCATCACTGAATAATTTCGCAAATTGAAATAAAGAAACCATAATGACTCAAAAAATAAACCATCTACACTTCTCTTGATTTTTTTTGTTTTGGATGCAGTTGCTATAAGATCACCATCAGCTAGCCATGCTATATTTTGCATTTTACAAATGTAATAACATCAAAGTTTTGAAACTGAGTGGATCTCAATGATCTCTAATGCATGTTTTTGTTTGCATATGCAATGTACTGTATTTTATTCGCAATAATATCAAAGCATCATACATTAATCTATGTGCAATTACTGAGTTGTTATGACTATCAAATCCATTAAGATCTAGGTTAATTAGGCAGATTTTTTGATGATAATTATTTCTGTTATTTTTTTTTTACTCTTGCAATAGAAAATTTCAAAATTATTCTGGGTAGCATTGCAACTCTCAATTCCTTTCTGCCATGCCAACCCACCACCATTTTGTTAACTGTACATGTACATTAGGGGTCCCACGATACATTATGAAACGATACGATACGTATCTCGATACTCAGGTCACGATACGAGCAACGATACGATACATCATACATAATAGTGTAGTTGAACCGGGGGGGAGGGGGGTGCAACACTGACGTAGCCGAGGTCGATCGTTGAAAGTCTATCACTTGCTTTGACATTTGATTCAGATGCAGCATAAAAACTATAGTCAACTGTCAAGCCTACCTGATGTATAGTAGTCAGCTATGCATATTTTGCAATTTTTTTGAAGTCCGGCTGTGCTTTCCTTTTACTGAGGAATGTCCCAAAGCACTACAGAAGATTTTCTATTGGGGGACATTAGGATATCACAACTACCCATGTTTGATGCTTACACGGCCATAATTCTATCAATTGTGTTCAAAACTTTCAAAAAGTTTCAATTTCTAACCTCTGGTCAACATTAATACTCCAAACGTAAAAATTGTTCGGTTTTTATTAGAGTTATCAATATTAGTAGGCAGTTTTTTTAACGCTTTCTATCCAATAAAAAGTTCAAAGATTATATTTATTCATACTAAATTGTCAAAAAGTATATAGAATTATAAAACAAAGTACGTTGATATACGAAGACATAGAAGACATTAGTTATTTGTTCGCATTTTGACTGTTAATCAACTAAGCATTCTGTTTGCATTTATACAGCATTTTTGGCGTGTCATGTCCAGTGAGAAACCAAACAAAAAATATATAAACAATTTCTCAAAAAAGTCAAATATTCAGTAGATTTCGGCAAAATATGATGGATTTCAGGTATGTAAATAATGTTTTTGGTGTACCGATATTTGAGTCTTCGTATCGATACGCTCGTATCGTCACCAAACGAGCCGATGCATCGATATATCGATGAATCGCGGGACCCCTAATGTACATGCTGTACATGCTTTAGGTAGGTGAAGAGGATATGATGGTCTTTTTCTATTTCCTTTCTTTTAACATATATAACACATACCATGGGCATAGCGCCCTGTACGCTGGGTACTCACAGGCGTACCAGATGGTTGCAAATTCGCTCCAAATACAACCAAATTTCAAAATTTTCCTGGGGGAGAACCCCCAGACCTCCCCTGAATGCTCGTTTTTTGATTAACAGCTCTTGTTCCTGTGGTGTGGCGTACTACTTAGAAAAATAGCGCTACGCCCATGCATACTGTAATTTCTAAATGTAATGGGTATCAGAATGAGTGAGATAATTATACTGCCTGGAGGTTCATTTTGTGTGAGGATGGGAATCTTAATGTAGGAAGGTATTGTAATAAGTGAAGTTACTTATTATTGATCCTGTCCCTAGCCTCTCTGAGCTTACTCGGATTTAGAATGAAATAACTTTTGATTTTCTTTTAGAAGATACCCTGAAGTGTAGGAATCCATAAGTTATTTTTTCAGGTTTGGGTAAAATCAATTTTTAAGGCAGGTTATAGTGGCGCCATCTAGTGATTTTAAAGTTGCAGGGTGATAATCTTAATTAATTTTTTTTTCAGCCAAACCTAATTTCATATTTATTTTTTTGCTGTTTCCTTAGAGACTACTTCCTAAACTATGCATTTGAATTTTTAGGTGATCCTGGAAGGTCATTTGATGGGTCATTTTGCCTCAAATATACAGAAGCGCCACCTATAATCAAGGGTCTACCTTATAAAGTTTATTATTCTGAGGCTGTTATGGTAGATAAAATTGTTATTATTGGTGTAATAATTAGAACCATAAAGGGGACATATGATGCAGTATCAAATTAATATATGTGGGACATGGGAACTTAGAAAAAATTTTTTTTGTAAAAGTGGAAGAAATTTGACAAAATATCAGTTTTTACATATTACCAAATACATATGCTTTTTTATTTCTAAGGTAAACCTAACATGATGTAACAAGTAGAAAAATATATATTTAGACAAGTTAAGCTTATGGTTGACAATTACGGTTATTAATGAATACATTATAGACAGAATGAAACCATGCATAAAAGGCGCCATCTATAGAAAATATATTTTTCTATAAGTTTCATTTGTTTGTAAATCATGTATGATTTTTGAAGGCAAAGTAAGAAACATAGAGAACAATGACAAAATTGAAAGCAAAATGCGCTTTTAGCCTCCCCAAGTCTTCCTGACCATTTCAAATATTGTACCTCCTAATAGATACATGCTATTTTATGAAATAATATACCGGTAACCATATTTCAGATTCAAAGTATATATATCCACAGCAAAACACTTGAACGTATTAACAGAAATACCTCTATTTTTTAATAAAGAATGCACTGCTTTGAATTTCTAGAAAATAGATGTGATTACGAATATGACATAAATATTTTTGAAAACTGCTCCCTGATCTGATTCTACCTAAATTCCAATTCATTGTAAAATAAGAGACTAGAAAACAACTGTTACATTCAATTTGTTTTGTGATATTTGATTAAAACAGTTCATTTTATCAGCATAAAACATTAATTAAGCATTGCCTCCAAAAGTTCACTCTCTTTTAAAAAGGGATTTTTACATTTATTTGTTTGTAAACTTGTGCATTTGCAGAATGATATGCAGTGTTGCCCACTCTGTTTGCATCCACATGATGCCTGGCTGCAAGTTTTGCATGTACATTGCTTTATCAAATCTTCAGGCCAAATCCTTATGTCCTGCTTTGGGATAAGAGAATCATTTGTGGGGTCCTTAATGTAGCCATATTGTAGGGGATCAAGTGTTACAGCTTCTTCATCTAGAACATGCTGGACTTGATATGTGGCTAAGTGAGCTCGTTTTATGTGGTCTGTTAGTAGGTGTGATGTGGGTGGCAATGAGCTTATTTGAGCTGATTTTGAGTGATGGTACATCCAGTTCCTAAATTTATTCATGGTCATACATTTTGACCCAGATTTCAAAACTTGTACAAGAAACACTTCAGCTTTACTGCAATTTTCATCACTTAGGTTCTCCCCAAAGGTTGCTAAACCTTGAATGTATTCTGGTTTTACTTTCAATGCTGCAGGTTTTGTACCAACTTTACTTGTAACATCTGAACCAGTAAGGAAGTGAATTGCAGGTAAAGCTTTGCTTATATTCTCATCAACTCTCAGTGCTAATGTATGCATAGGAAGATATCTTCTTAATTATGGGAGCAGTTTTATGAACTTTATGGAATAAATTTTTCTAATTTTACAAGAATTCAATTTATAGAGGTTGTTCTTTATGATAGAAATTTTGATCCAATCCTCGATAGAGTCACATGTTATTTTTTAAATAAACAAGAAAATTCAGTTAGAAAATCCAGAAAATTTTCACAAAATGTTCTCACTGAATTTTCTAGTTTTTTTATATATTTTATCAAAAAAAATCTTCTCTTAACAGTGTTTCCTAGGTACATTAGTGCACTCTTTGTGCAAAACTGAAAGATGAAGACAATTTTGGGAAGGCGTGATTGATATCTAAAAATTAACATGTGACTCTATGGAGGATTGCATCAAAATTTTTATCATACAGAATTACCTTAACATACAGGGTGTCAAATAAGTCCCGTCCCCCCCTCTACAGTTAAAACCAAGATATATGGTATCAAGTGTGATATATCATTGGATAGATTGTCCAAAGTTACGTTGATTGGCATATAGCTGAAACCTGTCAATCAATGTTACAAATTGCTACATTGTATCAATTGAGGTGACCATAGACCTAAAACATGGCAATTTTACATATTTTAGGCAGGATTTTTAGAATCGGGCATCAGAAGTCAAAGGAACCCAAAATGTCAACATTTTGTGTTTGGCTGTAAATTCAACCAATTTCTGGATAGGGTTATGTGTGTAGAAAATAGAGGGGTGAGGATAGTGATAGTGATAGTGAAAACTCTTTAACTATAAAGGATACTATCAAAATATAGATAAATTTCATCCAAAATACTTGAGAGTTGGTGAGTTAACGTAACTTTGGATGATCTTTCCAATGGTATATCACACTAGGTACCATCTATTAAGGTCTTGGCTGTAGAGGGGGGGGGGGGGGGACGGGACTTATTTGACACACTGAATAAGTACTTTTAAATTATAAATGATTAATTACCAATTTTACAGCATCTATCTTGCTTGCCAGAAGAAAATCCTGAGACTGCCTCTTGCTGTGCTTTATAAATGTGACATCTTCACCAAATCGCTTACGCAAATATTTGGTGACAAGTTGCCCTTGAACAGGGCTACGTCGAAGGCGGTCACCGATCTCTTTGCAAATCTCTGATACAGAGAAGGCTTTTCCTGTATTCAAGTCTTGTTGAATTTCATTAATGACATCATTAAATACATCATACATATTTGATTTATCATGAATAGAATTTGAATCAGTACTTTTCTGGTATTTATGGCTGTATTGTTTGTAACAATAGTTATGGTATAAGAGATCAGCTTCAATCACTCCTTTCACATCAGTGAGGTGACAGGTGCTGGTATACACTTCATCCTGTAAGTGTTGGGTTTGTACAAGAAACTCGGTAGCTTTCTTCTCTTCAGAAATTCGGGATTTTTCATATGTTTTGTTTTTTGTGACCTGATTACAATACATGTATATACAAACATTCTGGTATTTAGGTACATCAACAGCTTCAACAGAGGGCCTTTGTGGTAGGGAACATTTCATTTGTTTGGGTTGTGCTGTTGACGAATGAGGTCTATTTCCAACCATTCCTTCAATGGTTTCTTCAGTATCAGTTTCAGTTTCTTCATTTTCTTCATTCCTTTGTGGAAGGGAACATTTCATTTGTTTGGGTTGTTCTGTTGAGGAATGAGGTGTGTTTCCAACCATTCCTTCAATGGTTTTTTCAGTATCAGTTTCAGTTTCTTCATTCCTTTGTGGAAGGGAACATTTCATTTGTTTGGGTTGTTCTGTTGAGGAATGAGGTGTGTTTCCAACCATTCCTTCAATGGTTTTTTCAGTTTCAGTTTCAGTTTCTTCATTCCTTTGTGGAAGGGAACATTTCATTTGTTTGGGTTGTGCTGTTGAGGAATGAGGTGTGTTTCCAACCATTCCTTCAATGGTTTCTTCAGTATGCCGTTTTTGGGTGTATACTCTGTAGCAAGCATTGTTCATGTGATATAGAATAGGTGCGTTTTCAAGTTTGGCTACTTTCATACGTTGATAAACTTCATCATCTTTCATTTTGCTTATTCTAAGCAAGGTTGCAACACCTCTTGCTTGTCCCACAGTTGGCTTGACAACATTGCTGTTACTGTCTTTAAAATCATCTTGGCAGATAATACATTTTCCTGTTTCAAAGTTTATAGAAGCCATTTAGGAAGTTAACTGGAGAAGAAATAGATTGTTAGTGATTTTAAAATATTCAATCTCTAGGTCTCAAAAATACAGTCACAATTCAGGATCATGCATAGTTTATCATGTAACTGGGTTCATTTTAGTTATTAACGTTAATTCGTTAATCCATATGCAAGGAAATTTGACTTTCAAAGAAAAGCTGGATGTGATCATATGTTTTATTTTCCTAGACACCAACTTACATTCTATATTAGAAATAATTTGAATCATTCTAAGTGATCATAATTTTAATTCTTCTATTTTGTCGAAGATGAGCAATCTTTATATCTTAAATAAACCTTAAGCTTACTTACTTTAATCACATTTTAATAATTTTGTTTCCACCAATTCAATACATGTTCATCTGTAGTCTCAAATATATACTAAATACAAAAACAGAGGTTAGTCAATAAGTCAATTATAGAGGATTACTGTTTTAAACAACCTTCATGCTAATAAGATGTAAATTACCCCAAAATTAGCTGCCATGGCTTTTAACAGGAGTTTCAGTTTTGAGTTTGATATTAACTTATGATGGTATAAATATAATATAAAATTAGATCTAACTCCATTTGGGTGGGATAGATTGAAGGATCATTTTTTATTTGAAAAGTGTAGATACATCTTTTGAGAAGCTCTAATTTTATACAAAATGTTTCTGGCAAAAATTACCTGTAAAATAAAATATAATTTATTCTAAAAGTGCACACTTATGGAAATGATATGATTAATAGATGTTATACTCTATTAATACAAAGAAACTCAGGAAAAGCTTTTCATACATTCATTAAGTACCGTGTATTTCCAGAAGTTGAGTCTTTGATATAATAAGGGGTGTATATCAAACACAGAATAATTAAATAATAATAATGGGCCAAAACCAAAATTCAGCCCTACAATTACTTCATTCATATTCTCAAAAATCAAAATGTATTTGTTTGTACTTGTTACATCATATAAGGATTACCTTAGAAATAAAAAAAGCATATGTATTTGGTAATATGTAAAAACTGATATTTTGTCAAATTTCTTCCACTTTTACAAAAAAAATTTTTTCTAAAGTTCCCATGTCCCACATATATTAATTTGATACTGCATCATATGTCCCCTTTATGGTTCTAATTATTACACCAATAATAACAATTTTATCTACCATAACAGCCTCAGAATAATAAACTTTATAAGGTAGACCCTTGATTATAGGTGGCGCTTCTGTATATTTGAGGCAAAATGACCCATCAAATGACCTTCCAGGATCACCTAAAAATTCAAATGCATAGTTTAGGAAGTAGTCTCTAAGGAAAAAGCAAAAAGTAAATATGAAATTAGGTTTGGCTGAAAAAGAAATTAATTAAGATTATCACCCTGCAACTTTAAAATCACTAGATGGCGCCACTATAACCTGCCATAAAAATTGATTTTACCCAAACCTGGAAAAATAACTTATGGATTCCTACACTTCAGGGTATCTACTAAAAGAAAATCAAAAGTTATTTCATTCTAAATCCGAGTAAGCTCAGAGAGGCTAGGGACAGGACTATATACTAATCTCAGTAAGCTCAAAAATAGCTTTATAATCATTATTTTGAGGAACAATAGACATTCGTCTGTGTCGATTAGACATCATAGAGCAAAACAATCTAAGCTTTTCATTCTGTATGAAGATATAGAATGGCTGGATAGAAAAACCTAATTCTAGTCATGGTTAGCCATTTTTTCTTGTCATTCCTTGGCATGGCCATTACCCTGAGCATAGAGGTTAGTTTTAAAGTTCCTCTGAATGGTAAAGAGAATTTTACAACCATGCTGACATTTTCTCAACCGATCAGCGAACACAAAGAAACATGTTTGAATAATATTTAACATTGATTGGTCAGTACTGGGTAAACAATGACTTCAGAGGAAATTACCAGATCCAAAAAATCATCCTTCTTTCGACGACGATAAGCTCTGGATAGCTCGGCAAGTTCAGAGATTTCACTTAACGTAAAAGATTATAGACAAAGTTAGGTTAAATAAAGGCTTAGGTTTGCATGGCATTTAGCAATAGAAAACTTTGTAATTGCAGGTTTCTGAAGAGAGAGCATCAGGTAAACTAATCAATGAATTCTATTTCACACATTTAATGACCAAGGAAATTCGTGAGGTGATAAATGCTACATTATTGTAAATGTTGCTTTCATGCTTTTAGTCATAACTCTAAACTACCCTTAGGCCAATCAAGCTATAACGTTATAGCTATTCTCTTCATAAGATCGATAATTTTATAAGTTGTTTTATGTCCAAGATGCTTGTCTCTACGACTAGCACTCGGGCCATATATCAATCAAATAAGCCATACAGCAGTTTTTGAAGCAAATTGAATATAAAAAAGTCTTTGGGATGTGATAGGTTGTGATTAGCTCCGAAAATTCAAAGGTGTATCACTATTTAAGAGTATATGTATAATTCAGACTATAACTATTTTAAAGGGTAACACTTAGAAGCAAAATAATAATCACTTAACAATGTGGACGTGGGAGATCTTAAGAGAAGAAATTAGTTTGTTTCAATTCCAGATTAAATTTCGCCAACATTTAATAATGTATATTCTTGTGTTGAGTAATCATCATAAAGAAAGGTAATGAGGGAGATAACGATCAATTAATCGTCTTATATTTCCCATATCACTGATAACTGTAAGGGATATGTTTAAGGAAATATATTTAAAAGCTTCCCTTGCTTAAAAAAATACCTGTCACGTGGTGCGAAAAATGAGAAGTGATATTTACAACTAACAAACCAATGTGTTCTTTACGATCTACCATGGCATTAAGCCATCTGATTCTCATCACATCTTTCTGTCAAATTTGCAATATGCAACCTAAAAAGGAACTGATGGGCTTTGATCTTTTAACATGGTCATCAGTAGGCTTTTAGACTTTGTGTAGAGCACTACATCCAGTTCCTGCAACATTGTATCAACGGCTTCACCTTTGTACTGCTCTTCCTCCAGCTCTTGCAAAGATGATACACTTAAGGATCTATTGACAAGTCATAATGACTGCCACAGTCTGAATTCATTTGCATAAGTTAGATACACTAAATATTAGATAGTAATTCCTTAAATTGACAAAGATTTGATGAAAATATGTCAAGATTTCCATTTTTACCACCCTGTACATGATTTTTATACCAGCACCACAAGTGGTGATATTGTGGATGGTGGTTGATGTTCGGCAGTGGGCATTTGGTGCTTGGTGTCTGTAACTAACAAATGGTATCTGTAACAAATGGCAGGTAGTGGCATTTTGCATGTTAATGCCTGTTTCATTATACCGTGTGTAAAATGATTTACCATGACCAAATTTCAATATAAATGTTTCTATGACATCCTAATTTTTTTCCAAATGAGACCTGACAATCTAATATAAAAATGTAAAATATTGATAATCTCAAATGGTGATCTATTATTTAAGATACAGAAGTATTTTTAAAATTCACCGATAAGATCAACATTTACAAGTAACTGATATAAAATGTCAATAAAAAGTATAATAAAATATATTAACAGTAATGAAATTTCAATGTACATACAAGTATTAAAGGGAAAGGACCAAAAATTGTCACAGAACCCAGCAAGAAAAAAACAAAACCTTAGTGTACACCAGATTAGGAAAACAAATCCCAACTATCCCCAACAATAATCCAATTTGAAAAGAAACAATGTCTAATACCGTTTAATAATAATATCATGAATAACAATACATCCCTAAAAGATAGGGAAAATAAAAAAGTAATAAGAAACACAAAAAATAATTCTGGTCCAATCTGAGATATTCCCAAATCTTGAGGCAGATGACTATAGGGACTTGTCACAGGATTCAAGCAATTATTTTCCTTGTCACTATGCCATCATTTCCAAGTGAGTATGATTGATTTCAAAGAACACACGAGACGTCTGTGATTTAGATTGGCTCCTTTTCATTGAAAACTGATTCAGAACAGTTTGGTAGATACATGTTCATACCAGGCCCGTAGCCAGGATTTGCCAAGGGGGGATTCAGTTTTCAAATATTTCCAGGGGGGTTCACATTTGACAATTTTGGCTCAAATATGGCTAAAATCACTTGAAAAGTGCTCAAAATGGTGAAAAACTGCATGATTTTGAAAGAATTTTTGGCTATGTTACACATATTAGATGGGATGCGAACCCCCCCTGGCTACGGGCCTGTCATACTATTACACACTGAAGGTCGCTCATGGTGTTTGGCCTTCAGAGAATGTAAGATGCAAATTTAGTCATTGAGTGAATCATCCAGGTGTCTACCTTTCTTGTAAGCTTGAAGGAACTCGATTATTCAGAGTCATGACACAAAATTTTTTTCCTCTAAAAAGCTATATTTAAGATTGTTAAGATCATATTAACATCAAGCTGTATCATTTGCAAGAGGGTGAATAGATAGATGTCAGCACTTGTTTTTATATGTTTCGGTTGGGCCAGGCTGCCATAGGCTTCAATGATAAAAACTGGGTGTTTCTAGATTGTTTGTGGAGCTTAAATGCAATTAAAGGTAAAATTTGAGACTTATTATGACCCTCATTTTCAATGATTTGTATCTGTAAGTGTTGGATTGGGTCTAGAACCTTAGGATGGGAATATCTCAATTCCAGCAAACAATATTGAAATTGGCATTCTCTCAATTCTATCAACATTGAATGTAGTTTCATTCACTTCTGGATTATGACCCTCAAGGGTGCTACAGGTTGTTACACATATTAGATGGGATGGCTGATGAATACTTTTGCTAGTTAGCTGGACCTTTTATGTTGAGACTTGCATACTGATTGCATACATCTCCAAAAGTTTTCTCCATTGGGCAATATAATCATTCTTGTGGTAGTCATCAAATTCTCTTGAAAACTGCCAATAAGGTTTGACTTGATGTTTTTATAAACTTAGTGTTATTTCATAAAACCTGTGTAAGTGGAACACTTTT